GGGGTGTAAGACAACTTCAGCAGACGACTTTGAGATCAAGACTTCTCCCAGCAGCATTTGATTTGGTCAACTATAGCACCTTGCTTTCTCTTTCCTGGGAGCATGAGAAGCTGTACTTTGAAGGCTGCCCTTGATTCATTCAGCTCCGTTAATGGATTATAACGCACTAAGCGTCCATGAGGAACAGCAAAGCAAAGAAATTTATCGTTGAACTAGGAAAAAAGCCCTGATCTCTGCCATCCTTTGTTTCACGAGAACCCTTCCTGACCTTACCAAGTATATGCTTTGAAAAATTTTTATTATACATTTGGGGAAAAAAAATGGCCATGCACCTCAATGAATAATTATTGTTTTTAATACCATTGCCAAATAGTTCATCTCCTTTCCACCCATGACAAACAATGTGTAACTCTGCGACAGTTTGCTAGCTCAAACACATTAATAATTAAAAATAAACAGTCTATTTTGTAATCCATCTTTTGCTTACAGTAAGCATTAGATACAGAGATATTATTGTTTCAGTCCCCAGTGGCTTGTTAAGCCTACTCCAACGCCTTGAGAGACAAAGACAAAGAGAGAGCATAATTTGCTATGTGCTGGGAGACTTCTAAGCTTTTCAGGTCTCTCTGGCTGCAGCCTGGAGACGCAGGAATTTTGACATGGGGCAGCAAGGACAACCTTCCCTCTGCTCACTGAGTCGCTATCTCTGTCCCCACGTGCCGGAACACGCTGGTGGGACGATCCAGCCCCAGGATGAGGAGCAGCGGCAGGTCCCATGCCTCCCGCGGGCACGGAATGGGATGCTTGTGCAGCTCGTCTCCAACGGGTTTGTCCTCTCCTCGCCCCAAGGATGGACAATGGTGGTCTCGGGGGGTGGTGGTGAGGAAGCCACCTCCTTCTCTCTCAACACCTCCCCAGATTAAAAGCCCAGGGGGAGGAGGGAGGGCTGAGCAGCAGTGTTAGCAAGGAGCTATGAGTATATGTCTTGTTTTTCAGCGACAAGCACTCAGGTAAGCTCCGCCGCAGCTTAAACCCAGCAACCAGGGCTCTGTTGGGGTGAGCAGGGGAGATGGATTTGACACTGAGAAGAGGAGCAGCATTGCACACTGTGCCACAGAACCCCCCTGGCTGACCCTAAACTCCAGAAAACGGCACCGAACGGGACACAGTGCGAGTGTCCTTAGCTGCTACCCCATCTGCTCGGACGTGCGACTGCCTGGGCACCAGAACGCTTCAGCATCAGATGCCATCGAGGAAAGAAGGGAAGAGATACAATGTAAATAGTCTCTGAAAGAGGATCGTTCTAATTTAGTTATTTTTCTATGAGGAAAAAATAAGGAGTAACAGTGAAAATCCTACATAAGCTGAGATGTTCATTAAAACCCCTTGACAGTATGTTCTTTTGCAGCCGGTACCTATGAAGCCCACCTCTGGGTGCGTGTTTGACGCAGCTGAGGTAGCACCAGCAGTTAACATTTTCGCAAATGCTTCAGGAGAATGTAAAAGTTCAGGGAGCGGTGAGAAAAATCCCTTCCTATCAGCTCTGCCGGCCCTTATCTTAGCCCAAAGTTAAAAACGAAATCCACCCAAAGCGTATATTTAGCAACGCTGTATTAATTCTGCCCCAGTGCCACTTGCTTGTGTGTTGTATCATCCTTTCTTTCCCTTTCCCTCATCTGTTCAGTCTCCTTTCGTTTATCTTCCCTCCAACGCAAGGTTTGTCCTTCAGCGGCAATGGTGCAGTGCCTGGGAAACTGGGACCTGACCCCGACTCGAGCCCACGGAGGTGCCATCGAAACCAACACAAACATAACCCAAGCACTGCCGCTCCTTGAGGGACCACAAACTGATCACCTCGGTGGCCAAAAAGCGTGGGGAAGAAACCACCAAGTGGCCACCGGGGACGTGGTGCGTGGCACCGCATGGAAAAATATTTGTGTTACTCCGCTGGATTTTAATTGAAGCTCTCTAAGCCGCAACCACCGTGAACCTCGTTGTGCGAGGGCTGCGGTCACCGGAGAGCTCTTTAGGGACCCGCAGGTGGGACGTGCCCAGGACAAACACCGCAGCAATTTGTACATGCCACCTCCTCCCTTCATTGCTTCACTAAACTCAAAATTCCAAATAATTTCCATAGTTCTGTTTCCTGCAAATTAATCTTATCTTTGGCCTGGAGGACAGGGAAAGTAACTACTACCAGCTCTCCCTGTATTTGGCATAATTCCGTCTAGTAACATTGACCCTTGGCATGAGACCTCTTATCCATCCACCACATTCACACCCACCACGTTAACTCCCGCCACCTTCTTCTCTTGTAAAAAACGCCACATTTTAATCACCATTTCCAGCTGGAATTTCAATAATATCAACAAAATCCTGCTTTCATCTACCAACTATATGCTCCCCTCTCTGCCTCATATGGTCTTTCTATACACAAGGTCAAGGAACTGAATGAGCTTAAAACCAAACACCTCTTGCAGCACTTAGCTGATTTTTAGGACTATCAGTTCACCAACGACCCAGGTGGTGCTGAGCCAGAATGATTATCCCAACAGGGCAGCAGGGACATTTTTCTGCCATATTTCTGGTTTCTGATGGCTCAGAGCAACTACTCAGCTCCAGCCACAAATTCGAGCTCTGGTTAGTACCCCATCATCACTAAATCCTTCCTTTCGCTGTCATTTTTAAAATTTCCTTAATAATTGTAATCCTTCACAATTGTAAATTATGATTTCTTAACCTTAAGCAGTAAGGCAGGAAAAAGTGTCTCCTACAAAGTCCTGTGCAAGGCAGAGTTTGAAGACAACGCATCAGCAACAAGAAATGTCACCGATGGCGCCCGCCTTCATAGCAAAAAAAGGCAATTTTATACACAATATACTCAAAGCTTAAACCAATTCAGGCAAAAATCTCTTTGCTTTTCTCATGTTTCTTGCTAAACAGAGCGAATACCATTTTTCCTAAAGCTCACTTGATTAAAATGCTGTAATTCTGTATAAATAGCAGATCTAGTTTCTTCATCTCGGTTTCCCATCTCAACTCCAAATTTCACCTGTCGGTTGCAGACAAAATATTAAGGAGATAAATAAATAAATAGATAAATAAATAAATAAAGGATACTATTGACCCATAAAGGATTCTGAGCTAGGAAATTTCTTTATGTTATTCAAAATGTTTCTTTGGAAACTGTCAGTTTTTACCAAAGTCGGGTCATATGTGGGGTGGGGGATGTTTGTGCTAGTTACTCCTGAAAGGTAATTAAGGAAAAAAAGGCTATTGTTGGCAGGTTTAATTTGCTCTGCAAGAAAAAAACCGTGCCTTTGGAGCACTTTTTGAGGTCTGCTGGCATACATGAGTGGAAGTATTTCTTCTGATAATTCTTCAGCCAGTAAATTTGTGGTTTGGGATTAAACACAGCAGTATATTTTTAGGTGCCTGATTAACGGTCACAGGTGGATTTAGCTCGGGTGGTTGGGGTGGTTTCTTTCCCGCGCCGCCAGTTTTGGTTTATTTTAAAACTCCGGTGGCCGAGCGCGGGCCCATCGCAGCACCGCGGTGCCGGGGACCCCGAGCGGGGCAGCCGCTGGAGCTCAACCCCTTGCCCACCAACCGGGAATCACAGCTCTTCACTGTGCTTAGAGACAAATTCCGTAGGGTTTTGCTTGGTTGTTTTTTTTTTAATACCTTGATTAAAAGATAAAATACGCATGTAATGGCAGAATTCACAGGGAAGAGAAACACAGGTATAGGAAAACCTCACAGGCAGGTAAAGCCTGCGCGATGCGGGCTGACCACTCCGGCAGGAACGACGGAGGAAACCCCCCCCCTCCCCAACCCCCTGCCATGCACCCGCCTGGGGGTGACTCTGTCCCTGGGTGATGCTGTGGTTGGGGTACACACCCCTGCCATGCACCTGCCTGGGGGTGACTCTGTCCCTGGGTGATGCTGTGGTTGGGGTACACCCCTCTGCCATGCACCCACCTGAGGGTGACTCAGTCCCTGGGTGATGCTGTGATTGGGGTACACACCCCTGCCATGCACCCGCCTGGGGGTGACTCTGTCCCTGGGTGATGCTGTGGTTGGGGTACACACCCCTGCCATGCACCCGCCTGGGGGTGACTCTGTCCCTGGGTGATGCTGTGGTTGGGGTACACACCCCTGCCATGCACCTGCCTGGGGGTGACTCTGTCCCTGGGTGATGCTGTGGTTGGGGTACACCCCTCTGCCATGCACCCACCTGAGGGTGACTCAGTCCCTGGGTGATGCTGTGATTGGGGTACACACCCCTGCCATGCACCCGCCTGGGGGTGACTCTGTCCCTGGGTGATGCTGTGGTTGGGGTACACACCCCTGCCATGCACCCGCCTGGGGGTGACTCTGTCCCTGGGTGATGCTGTGGTTGGGGTACACACCCCTGCCATGCACCTGCCTGGGGGTGACTCTGTCCCTGGGTGATGCTGTGGTTGGGGTACACCCCTCTGCCATGCACCCACCTGAGGGTGACTCAGTCCCTGGGTGATGCTGTGATTGGGGTACACACCCCTGCCATGCACCCGCCTGGGGGTGACTCTGTCCCTGGGTGATGCTGTGGTTGGGGTACACACCCCTGCCATGCACCCGCCTGGGGGTGACTCTGTCCCTGGGTGATGCTGTGGTTGGGGTACACACCCCTGCCATGCACCTGCCTGGGGGTGACTCTGTCCCTGGGTGATGCTGTGGTTGGGGTACACACCCCTGCCATGCACCTGCCTGGGGGTGACTCTGTCCCTGGGTGATGCTGTGGTTGGGGTACACCCCTCTGCCATGCACCTGCCCAGGGGTGACACCTTCCCTGGGTGATGATGTACTTGGGTGTACACCCTCCATGCCATGCACTCACCCAGGAGCAACACCTTCACTGGAGTGACAGCACCCTTAGGGTACACCATCCTTGGGGTGCACCTGCCCAGGAGTGACACCATCCTTGGAGTGACACCACCCTTAGGGTACACCCCCCTGCCATGCACCTGCCCGGGAGCAACACCTTCGTTGGAGTGACGGCACCCTTAGGGTACACCTTCCTTGGGGTGCACCCGCCCGGGAGTGACTCCTTCCTTGGGGTGCACCCGCCCAGGAGTGACACCTTCCTTGGAGTGACACCACCCTTAGGGTACACCTTCCTTGGGGTGCACCCGCCCAGGAGCAACACCTTCGTTGGAGTGACACCACCCTTAGGGTATACCTTCCTTGGGGTGCACCCATGCAGGAGTGACACCTTCCTTGGAGTGACACAATCCTCAGAGTATACCCCCCCTGCCATGCACCTGCCTGGGGGCGACACCTTGCTTGGAGTGACACCACCCTTAGGGTGCACCTTCCTTGGGGTGCACCCTCCAGGGAGTGCAACCTTCGTTGGAGTGACACCATCCTCGGGGTACAACCTCCCTGCCATGCACCCACCCGGGAGCAACACCTTCCTTGGAGTGACACCATCTTTAGTGTGCACCCTCCTTTGGGTGCACCCGCTTGATGGGAACACTCTCCTTGGGACTCTCCTTGCACCTAAGGGAAGGTGCACCCTTGTTGTGGTGTATCTGGCTTGGGATGGCACCAGTCAGAGGGTGCATCTGTCAGCTAGTGGCACCCTCCTTGGAGTGACGGTTGCCTGCATGGCGCAGCTGCCTGAGGGTGACTTTCTTCTTGGGATGCACCCTGTTTGCAGTGCACCTTACCTGGGTTGAACCCTCCCAAGAAAAGGGCGATGTCAACCAATGAAGGAGGTTGCACCCTCTCTGGGGTGCACCTGCTTGGAGGTGGTACTCTCCATGGAGAGCAGGTGCCTGAGAGCGGCACCCTCCTTGTAGCGACACTCACCCTTGGGTGACACTGTCCTTGGGGTGCACTCTCCTTACCTTGCGCCTTCCTTGGGTTGATCCCTCCTTTTGGTGACATTTTGCATGGGCTGACACCAGCCAGGGAAGTTGTATTAGGTCTATGGAGCACATCTCCACAGAGGGACGTGCTGTGGGGTGGGAAGCATGGCCCCACACGCACCCTGCGAGGCCCAGCCATAGCTTGGGCTGGGGGACAAGGGGTGGATGGGTGGAAGCGACTGATGGGAATGAAAGAACATGGGCAGGTGGGGTGTAGGGAGGAAGGGGTGGAGGGTTGTGTTGGAGTGGTTGGGTAGTGGGCTGAAGGGGGAGAAAGAAAGTGTTGTGGAGAAGAGAAGGGTGGTTGTGAGGTGGACAGCAGGTGTCAGGACCTGCCTGGTGGGGTGTTGCCAGGCCCTGGGTCCTGCATGCTGAGGAAGGGAGGTGGTACTCATGGATGTCTCCTTGCTGTCCTTCACCCTGGACTGCGGGCTGGGAGAAGTGAAGACCTAGTGTGTGCCAGTAAGTTCATGTGTGTGGTTGGGAAGGGCTGAACTTGGGGTGATGGTGGTGCTACCTACTGCTAGCAGCCGCTGGGCAGTGCGCCGGGGTGTGATGGTGGATGAGCAGTTCTCCCTTGGCAAAGCAGCCTGGGGAGCCTTTAATACGAAGGAGCAAAGCACATGCACAGGGAAGGAAATATCACTACAGCAGCAGCCAGCACAGCCAGCTGAAACCATCTCCATGCCTTGGCAGCGATGTCAGCTGCTGTTTCTCAAGAGCTAACAACTCGTCCTAACGAGGATAGCATTATTCATTCCTTAGCAGTTCAGTCCTGGGACAGCCTGCAGTCTGGTAAGGGGATGTTGTATATTAAATAATAAAACGGCTGCTCTAAGTGGGCTGCTTCTTGCTAGAACGTCTCATTAGAAATGTACTTTGGGGAGAAGAAAACCCTATCCTGAAGGAAACACCCGTTTAGTGATCCCAGCTCTTCTCTGTGATGAAGATTTCCCTTTTTACTCAAAAGACAACTGCAACCCCCCAAAAAAAGCCCTTGCCACGCTGCACAGCAACTGAGGCTGGCAGGCAGCTGATGCAGTTGTCTGCTATAAGGTGAAGGTGTCCCTGCTTCGCAGTCCCGTGGCCTCAGCTGCCTCTCGCCTGGGTGACGGGACCCTTGTGACTGCTGTCTTGGGACCTCTGCATCTCCAGACCAGAGCTCAGGCAAAGCAGGAGCTGCTCCTCAGCTCAGAGAGCTGTGTGCTAGGGGAAAGGATTTGTTCTTTGTGTGGAGGCTCAGATCCATTTCTCTTTCAAGCAGTCACCCGGTGAAGGATTTCTCCTGAAAGTCCAAAAAGTTTCCTCAGGAAAGCAGGGTGGTCCCCCTCACCTCCTAAAGAGGATGCAAACTTTGTCTGGACCACGTGAACAGTTCACGTTAAGAGGACACGCATGCTCATCCCCAGTGACTACCATGGTTGAGCACTGAAATTGGTCTAGCGTGTTTGAAGAGTAGTTCTGCCATGTTCTAAGTGTTTTAATTCTGCCCGCCCTGTTTCTCCTTCAGCCACAAGAAGCAGCAGAAGGCCGTCACAAACGCGGTCCGTGCTGTGAAGCAGTAAAGAGCTATTTGGGAAGGTGAGTAAACAAAGGATACCTGATAAAATAATGACCAGGCTATGCAACTGTGCTGTCATAAATCATAAAATGACAACTTATTTCAACAAATCCAATAATATAAATAATAAAAACTACAAGCTTAGGGTGGGAACAGTAAGGTTGTTGCAAGTGTAATGAAACCTTATCTGTTCAATCAGAACAATAGATGTACATGAAGGAAGAAGAGAAATGGTATTTACAAATAATATTGTTATTATCTTATCTAAAGTTTGCCATCTCCAGGGAAGCTTGAGCAAACTCTGTCTTCCCCAGGCAGCTGCAGAATCGTCAGTCCGTGCAAGTCTCCACCTTGCAAGCTCTCGGCAGCTCGCTTCTGCCTTTGCACACGGGAGCCCGTGGGGTTTGTTTGATCTCTGCTGCCAGTCTTGGCAGGCCCTGCCTCCGCCTGAATGAAGCACCACAACAAATGGGTGAGATCTCCCATGGTATTTTTTTGATGGTTAAGCTAATGTGTTTAACAGGAGCTGCTGTGTGTAGATGTCCTATCTTGCCATCTTGCTTCGTCCTAAAAGTTGGTCGCTAAATCTCAGAGCAAACCGATGTGTTGTGTTTCTGCAGCCTGTTGTACACCCAGAAGCGGTTTACTAGAAATGTTGACTTAATATTAATGAGGTTTTTAATTTACAGGATATATTTGAGGGGCTTGAGGCTTACAGGGAAGTGTAGGAAGCCCTTTGCTTGGCAGCAGGCATGGCACCAGGTGTGTGAGCGCCTTCCACCTGCATCGATGTCGGAGCTGAGAGCGGTTGTTCTGCAGAGCCTGGGGTGCTCCTGGAAAGCAGTGCTGGGGCTCAGGCTTGAGGGAATTTACTTAATTTTCCCTCTGGCTTTTAAATAAACACACGTTTGTGTGTATGCTTATATGTATGTGTGTCTGTAAGTCTCTTTTGCACACACTGGGGAAGGGAGCTGTGTTTATAGGCAGGAGCTGGAGGGTCTTGAGTAAAGCACTGGGTGGGGAGGTGTTGCTAGGAGATGGAGACTCCAGCGTCTGGCACGGTGGCATTCTTATTTTTGGTGTAGATCACACGAAATGGTATTTGACTGTGAAGCAGGATAGAAATCTCTTTCCTCCCCTTACATTCATCTGTGAATGATCTGTCTGTGCCTAGTAGTGTTGCAGCTTATTTAAAACCGAAATCAAACGCAGACTGGGTGCTGTTCAGCCCAGCTAGAGGCTGCGTGGTTTGCAGTCTCTGGGCTTTTTCTCTGTCTCCCTGCCTTCCCACCTCATTAGGAAATCCTTCACTTGAACAGCAGAGTATATGTCTTTGTTTAGGGAAGGGCATCCTCACGTGTTTTTGGTTCCTTTGTGGCCAGTTGTCTCTGATTTTTCAGACACTGTGTGTTAGCCATCATTTTTTCTGGGGTTGGGCTTATTAAATACATCCTGCCAGGGTTTGCTCTCTCTTGCTTTGCTGCTGTGCCCCTCTTTGAACACAAGTGCCAGCCAGGAACCAGATCCTCCCATCCAAGCACCTCCACCCTCCCCGCAGCCAGGGACTACGTGATGGCATGGGGAGAGCTGCCATGGGGTGCCTTTGCTTGGGGCACTCAGCTCTTCCTGGTGTGCTACCAGGGCTGGATTTACAGTAGAAATTAAGTCTGAATGCTAAAACACGGAGGGGTTTTTGCACCCTTTTTGGGGTGCTGAAGTCTTGGGCAGAAGCATGGGGACCCCTCGCAGCTCTCACAGCAGCTCATGCCACTCACACTTTGCCGGTGCTCTGCTCGGGCGCCGAACTCCCTTCACTCAGTATGCAAGAGGCCTTTTTGGTCATGCAGGGCTAAGCAGCAGGATGCTGAGGGGCTGGGAGGGTACCGGGGCAAGCCGGTTACATGGTTGGCTTCGGTCACTGTCGTGAACCTGCACAAGTGCTCATAGCTCCACATCACAAGCTACGTCTGACCTGCCAAAGGACTGTAGCTCGGCACCCTGAACCCCTTGGCCCATTTGGGAAGAGGTTAGGATGCTGTGTTGTACCAGTTCAGTGTGAGGAAGCAAGATGAGGAATGCTGTGCATCTGTTTATACAAAAGCTCAGGTTCTGGGGT